TATATATATATATATATATATATATATATATATATATATATATCCACTGAATGCCATATCGCATTGTCAGTACAAAATTACCGTAATGACATAGAAAAATATGTATATGCATTTATCTCTATTATTTTCATTGTCATTGTTATGCACGTATGCAAAATAAAAATTACATTGGTTAGTAAAAATAAAATTTAGAAAAATAAAAAAATAGAAAAAATAACTTTTATTTATACTGTAATTTTTTGCAACAACTTTAATTTTTGTAAAGTTAATTTTTTCAAAAAATAGTTCTTTGTTATGACAAGTGTACTGATAGTGCAATATATACTTTAAAATTTATTAAATACTTCCGTGAACGATACATCTGACTCAATATTAATACTATAATGTCTCATAATTAGAATTACATCTGACAAACGTTTGATGCGATTAAACATAAAATTAAAATTAAATAACATAAAATGGATTTTTCAATCAATCCTGATGTCCTTTGTAATGTCTCATCCTTATTTCATGATTCCAAATGTAATGAATGCTAAAGTACATATTACGAACTGCCATAAATATTTTAACATTCCGAGATGAGTTTTCTGATTTCTTTTTTAAAGCGTATGATGTTTAGACGTTTATGTGTATATTTCTGTGCACATCTCGAGACTTTAAAATTTCATTAACGTACCAATAAAGATTTAGCTCGGATTTATTCCACCTTTTACAATTGCCTGTGGCAACTCTTTAAAATTTGAATTTATTTATTCCACCTTTTACAATTGCCTGTGGCAACTCTTTAAAATTCGAAAATATATAATAATTACTATATATAATAATCAGAAAATTTACATGTAAAAACTATAAAAATTGCTGTAGTATAAAATTAAATATTACTCCAATCTACATGAAATATCACGTAAAATATTTTATATACTTTCAGATTAGACAATACACATTATGTGCGATTAATCTCAATAACATCAAGATTTATGATATCTAGCATTCTAATTATACAGCTTATCTCATACTCATAATTTGAAGAACCTAGAGAATGAATCTCTATTCACATAGCACGCTTACGTTTCCATGATATTATGTGTTATATCAAGCAATATACAAAGACATTTAATATACATCAATTAATAGGAAATACATATCTAAAACAAGATACAAAATTCTCGAATTTATTACTTTTTAAATTCCACGTGAGCCGTTTATAAATTTCTTAAAATTTCATGAAGTATTATTTCATGAATAAAAGAATTAAATCAGAAAGAATCAAAATAAAAATAATACAAGAATTTCCAAAAATATTTTTTACTTTAGTCATTATCATCATTTAATGAATCGTGAAAACTGCGAAAAACCTTAGCGGTCAGTTCTCTTTGGACCAATCAAAGACGGTAGCAACGAACGGGTTGTACCCGCACACGTGTATATATCTATCCTTTTAATACCGTATCAATCAATAAGTGTGCACGATGTAAAATACGCAGTATCGTTCCGTATCTCGTATTTCCCGCATCGCCTTTCGCATATAAGATGCGATCGATAAATTTAATGTTTACATTTCCAAATATACAATTCTTTGGTCAACTTCAAGACTTCAACAACCTTCTTTTTGTTAATAAAATAAATGATTAATTAAATGCTTAATTTAACGCTTCAATTATCATTAAATAATTGAATATCCAATAACTCGCTATACATTTTTTAGTGCAAAAATTTGCCATGAATTTTATAGCCATTTAAAATTGTCATCGATATTACCAGTAATTTAACAATGCATCACTGTTCGATTAGAATTGTGTACAACATTCAAATATATTGTTTGTGACAATCACGTTTATCCAAACGGTTTCTATTACTTCTCTCGATCATATTCGATTTTCGTAAGTGCACAACTGTGCTTGCCAGCCACACATAATCAAAATTCCACTAAACAATACAATACAACATAATATCTCTGTCGAGCTGCCCCCCCA